AAGCGCCTGCAATGTTTTCAGCTCTGGGAATGCAGCAGTTAACAAAAGAGACACAAATTCATGCTTAGGTTGATTGGGGAGACAGACAATAAGTAAGAAAAGTGTAGAATATACATGTTATAGATAAATAAAACCAGGAAGGGGGATAGGAAGTTTAAAGGTAGGAAATGAAATGCTTGACTAGTGATCACAGGAAGGAAGGCTTATGGTTCTCTTGAGAAGCTCCAACACATGCGCTATTCTGGGCGGGAACCACGTCTGGCTCGTTCCTCACCACGGGGCCTGCCAATAACAGTAAGCGCAGGAGTATTCGTAATAGGTTAGTGACAGTATTAGTAATAGCGTCAGTAACCGTAATATTAGTAATGGCGAGAGTGTTATTAGTCATTGAGTAAACAGTGGCCCATAGTAGCTGCCATTTACTGAGCAAGTACCACATACGGGTCCCAAGCACTTGGCACTGAATCTTCACCGTTTGGTAGGAACCATTGTTAACACCATTTTAAACAGAGTAACACTGAGGCTCAGAGAGGTTGAGAAAACTTGCTCAGAGGCCATGTGCAGTGGCCAATGCTGGCTCTGGACTCCTGTCCCCAAGGAAAGCCATGCTGATGCCTACTCCTTTCTCACCTGTCCAGGTACACCTCCCGGTCCCGCTGCTACTCGGAGACTCCGGCGTCCTTTCTGCGCTGGCTGAGTCAGCAGACGCGCTGGTCCAAGTCATATTTCCGCGAGTGGCTGTACAATGCGCTGTGGTGGCACCGGCACCACGCGTGGATGACCTACGAGGCGGTGATCTCGGGACTCTTTCCCTTCTTCGTGGCGGCCACGGTGCTGCGGCTTTTCTACGCCGGCCGCCCGTGGGCGTTGCTGTGGGTGCTGCTCTGCGTGCAGGGAGTGGCGCTGGCCAAGGCGGCCTTCGCCGCCTGGCTGCGGGGCTGCGCGCGCATGCTGCTGCTCTCGCTCTACGCGCCCCTCTACATGGGAGGCCTCCTGCCTGCCAAGTTCCTGGCGCTGGCCACCATGAACCAGAGTGGCTGGGGCACCTCAGGCCGGAGGAAGCTGGCTGCCAACTACGTCCCTGTGCTGCCGCTGGCCCTCTGGGCTTTGTTGCTGCTCGGCGGCCTGGTGCGCAGCGTGGTGTACGAGGCCAGAGCCGACTGGAGCGGCCCCTCCAGGACTGCCGAGGCCTACCATCTGGCTGCCGGGGCCGGGGCTTACGTGGGGTACTGGGTGCTCATGCTCACGTTCTACTGGGTGGGCGTGAGGAGACTCTGCCGGCGGCGGGCTGGGGGCTACCGCGTCCAGGTGTGAGTTCCGGCGCCCGGGCACCGACCAAGGGGTCTTCAGGGGAGGCAAGAGACCAATCAGGCCCCAGGATCGACGAGGAACTTACGGGTGAATTCTCTGGGCCTCAGTTTCCCCCCTCTGTGAAGGGAGGGGGGGGTCTACCCAAGATTCTTCAGCCTGGACTGTTCTGGGGCTGGGGCTTCTGGGTCTCTGGGGAGGGGTATTTATTAATCAGGTTGTGAATTTTTAGGGGCAAGGAGTCTCCACATACTGTTCTGGGGCCCCCCACTTTCTCCCTGCTCTTATTTAATCTCCATTTGTACGGTGTGATTAGGATGTAATAAAGAATTTTATTTATTTTCTTCCAAGCCTCTCCCACCACCCTTGTTTTTTTTTCTTTTTTCTTTTGAAACAGGAGGGGGTTTTGTGGTTGAGAATTGGGGACTCTCGGCTCCATCTTGGGTTCCAGCTGTTTGAAACTAGACAGGATACCTTCCTTCCTCAGTTCCCTCAAAAGAAAGTTAGGACTATTAATCCAATGGGCCAGGGTTGTTGTGAGGGTGGAATTTCTCAACTCCTCATTCACACATACTTCCGGAGCACCCACCACACGCGGGCTCTGTTCGGCACCATGGAGAGTGTTTTCCTGGGCCCCTCAGAAGAAGGGTAGCTCACACCTTCTCTCCTCGAACCCCACACCTCTTCCCCCTGCCTCACCTTACCTCTGAGAAAACAGAAGGGACAAGAGGACGACCTTCCATGTCCCCGCCTCCATGATCCTCACCCATCTGTACCTGTGCTCACACAGGCCACCTGCCCTCAGTACTGAGGCTGAACCTCTGTCCGTGCTCAGTGCCGTTCCCCCCTTCCCCACTTGACGTGCTCTCTTCACTCGGCTTTCAGGACGCCAGGGGCCTTGCTTTCCATTTTCCTTCTGGGTTCCTCCTCATGTCACCTACTGCTTAACATTAGAGGAACTTTATCATCACCTTATCCACCTACACTCATTTCCTCTGTGCACCCAGTATTACGCCTCATTCCCACTCCATCCCTGGAGAATGGACTCAATATTTTAACCTTCAGATCAGACCACACGCCTGCATTCCAGACTTGAACACCAAATTACCAAGACGTTTCCACTTGGTAACGTCCCAACTCCTGACTTGTGCTCCCCGTCCTTCCCTTCCACCCCCATGAAACCTGCTCCTGCAGTTCTCAGCCTCTAAGTAAACAGAACTCCATCCTTCCAGCCTTTCAGGCCAAATCTGCTAGAGCTGCACCGTCCACAAGAGCAGCCACTACTGCATAAGGCTATTACATTTTTCCCCATTCATTCATTCTTTTGATTCAGCCAGTCCCCAAAACATTTACCAAGCATCTTTTGAATTCCACACCCTTGGCCAGTTTTGCAGAGTGAAACAGATGAAGGGCCCGTGGCTGCCTTACAGGAGCTCTGGAGGAAGGAAGCACAGAGAGTGACCCGTAGTTAAGGACCCCCAGACACATGCCTCTAGATTTGTTGTAGAGAAAGGGCGATTTAGAGATGTTATTAAAGCTATAGAAAAGATTACACATTCGGTTCCTCAGTTGCACTGGTCACACTTCACGTGCTTCACGGCTACGTGTGCCGAAGGTTGCCGTACCGGACATCGTAGACCTGTTCTGGAACATTTCCAGAGAAGAGGGTTCTACTGGCCATTGCTGTTGTCTTGACCATTGATCCATGGCCCTTCTCTTTTGTCTCATACTCAACATTCTGATCCAACAGCCAATGCCACTGGCTTTCTCTTCAGCAGATCCTGGAAGCACTGCTCCTTATCCTGTCTGTCACCGCAGCTGCATCTCTTTCCTCGACCAAAGCTGCCATTTTATGCCTGGATCACTGCCTCTCCCCTTGCCCCCTGTATTCTGCTACCCAAACAGTGTACATCAAATCAAATCATGACCTTCCTTGTCTTAAAAACCACCCGTGCGCTCAAAGGAGAATCCAGACCTTACGGTGGCCCAGTTCTTGCATGACCTGGTGCGCTGTGCTCTCCAGGACCTCACCACATCCTCATTTCCTAAAGCCCTGTGCCAGCTGCTCTGCCATTCCCCACCTCCCCACACCCCCACTCACAACCAGGGACACTCCTGACTTAGGGCTTTTGCTTCTGTTTCTTTTGCTGGAGCACTTGTAACATAAATGCCCAGATGGGGAGGTGGGGTGGGTGGAGGTGGAAGAGGTTATAGGGAGATAAATGGTAATAGGGGGAAAAATACGACTAAAAAAAAAAAAAAGAGCTGTTTCTTAGCCCTGACCAGGTAACTCACGTGGTTAGAGCGTCATCCAGACATGCCAAGGTTGAGGGTTCGGTGCCCCGTCAGGACACATACAAGAATCAACCATGAATGCTAAGTAAGTGGAACAGCAGATCACTGTTTCTCTCTTTGTCTCTCAAATCAATAAAACAAACAAAAAACACAATACCCACATGGCTCACATCTCATCCCCTTCTTTTTTATTATCATTTAAAAAATCCTCACCAGGGATGTTTATTGATTTGAGAGAGACAGAAACATCGGGGAGAGAGACATCAATCAGTTGCTTCTTGTACATGAGGCAAATGGAGATCGGACCCACAACCTAGCTATGTGCCCTGACTGGGGATCGAACCCATAACCTTTTGGTGTATGGGAAGACACTCCAACCCACTGAGCCACCTGGCCAGGGCTCATCCCCTTCTTTAATGTGAGGACTTCTTCAAAGCTCCTCTTGTTCCCTTCATCCCCCCAACCTTTCCTACCTCATTTTCCCTGTTTTCATTTCTCCATCACATATATCATTATATGACCTAATGCCTGTGTTATCTTGCTTAAGTTTTTTAAGTTTATAGTCTCCCTGCCCACTGGCATCTAAACTCTGTGAGGGTGCAGATTTTCGTTTGTTCTGAGCTCTTCATTGTGGTTTGAAAATGCTTGGCGCGCAGTAAATATTCACTGAGTGAATGAAGACATCAGTGAATGAGTACATGGCCCGAGGGAGTGTTATCTTTTAGGTGGGGAAGACACAAAACTAAATGAAAAAATAAGTTCACATTAGATCCAAGTGAGTGCAATGCATGGGCTAAAAGAGGGGGATAGGCTGGGACCTGTGCAGTGAGGTAGAGTCATTTTAAGGACAAAGAACAGCACATGGCAAAGGCCAGCAGAAGGGACAAGAGAATAAAGTGTGCGGGGTGGGAGGGGGGCCGGTGGTGGTGAGGAGGTGGAATCAGGCCAATAAATTCAGTGCTGGCTGCACAGAGTTGTCATGAGAATGAGTTAATACATATAAAAGGCTGTTCGGAGGAACAGGACCAAGTTAACTGGACCAAAAAGGGACAAAACATTATTTTAGGGAGGAAAGAGCCATAGTCAGGTCCTGGAAGGGGTGAGAAGAATCACGCCGAGGGTGTCTTCTGCAGCTGGAAACGTCGAGGAGGTTGCCAGAAGTCTGGGGAGGGATCTGGGCTTGCCCCTCAGTCTCTCAACACAGGGCCTGCACTGTGACAGCTATAACAGTACTGTTACTCTGGAGGCACAGACCCCTGGGCACATTTGGGGTATGCCGCCCCTCCCCCTACCAACATTGGCAGTAACCACCTTCAAAGATGAAAACATCTGTACCACTGAAATATATTCTTTATTTTTGGAATGGAAATAGAATAAGAAAGAGACAGATACCTTTATTAGTTGCCACTGAAGTACCACCGGAAGAACATCCTGGGGAAATAAGGAGTTTTGTGTGTGGGGGGGGGAAGTTGGGGAGCAGATGTCTGGGGCCTGGACTTCTGGGTCTGAGGGAGAGGGGCTCGGGGACTGGACTCCTGGGTCCGAGAGAGGAGGGGCTGGGTGTCGGGACTCCTGGTTCCGAGGAGGGAGGGGACCGGGCGCCTGCACTCTCAGGTCTGAGGGAGGAAAGGTTGAGGGCTGGACTCCTGGGTCTGTAAAACGAGGGGACTGGATACCCGGGTCGATGTAAGGAGAGCGCCAGATGCTGGGAGCCGGGGTCCCGGGAACTCACCACACCAGCAGGGTCACACCGGCTGAAGCTAAGGCGGCTGCGGCCCCGAGTAGGCACTGGTTGCTCAGCGTCAGAGCCCCAGGCTTGGCCAGCAGCTCGCCCAGGCTCGGCTTCCAGGGTTCGATCGTCTCCCGCGGCGCCCAGCGAAGCACTTCCCGAAATAAGACCTGGAGCTCGGTCTCCCCGCGCGGAGGCCGACTGGTCACTGCGGGGACGCGCACGTCAGCAGGACGCAAGCCCCGCCCCCGGCAACCACTTCTTCCGCGCAGCCCCGCTCGCACCGTTAAGAAAGAAGTAGAGTCGCGCCAGGGGGCGCTGGTCGTGCGAGATCACGCAAGAGAAGGTCCCGCGGTGCGTTGGCTGCACCGGCCGGATTCGCGCCAGGTACCCGTGGGCCCGCGGCATCTCTCGGAAGTAAGCCAGGTCCTGCGTCCGGACCTGCAGAACGCTCGGGCTGATGCGGCGGGAGGACCAGGGCCCCCCCGCCGGGACTCGTTACCCGAAATGTACAAGCCCCGCCCCCGAGCTAGACCCCGCCTTCGGGCCTCCGCCCTCTCTGTTCACGCATAGCCCAGCCCCCTAAACCTTGACCCCGCCCTCTGGGGCCTAATACTTGCTTACCCTCCCTAAATCACTACGCAACCCCCCAAGGCCGGCTCCTGCCCGGTGAGCCTTGACTCCTCCCTTAAATGTTGGGAACCCCCTCCTTACACGAAGCCTGAATCTAGACCGAGCTCCCGCTAGCCTCATCCCTGCGTCCTGACTTCTCATCCTCTAGGAAGCCTAACCCACCTCCGAAACCCCTCGCTCTGGCCACACCCCGACTCACACCTCCTCCTGCGAACTTCCAGGAATAGGTGATCTCCTCCTTGGGCAACTGGAAGTTCACCGTGCAGGAGAACATGGCCTGATCACCTCGATTCACTGTCACGTCCTGAACTGCAGACGGTCCCGCGTCACCACCTCCGCTTAGCCCCAGGCTACCCCCCTCCCCCATCTCAGCTCTCTTTTCTACAGTTCCTCTGGTTCCTGCCCTTGCAGACCCCGCCCCTCACCTGGGCAGTCCAGCGGGAGGTCGCAGACGTGGGAGTAGCACCCGCGGCAGCGGAAACGCCGGGCGACCTCCTGGAGCCCTGTGGGCGGGAACGTTGGGCCTGAGCTCCACTTGGCCTTCCCCAGCCCGGGTCCCTTGGGCAAGTTCGGGTCTTGGAAGCCTCCATGGGTTCCACCGGCCAGAACCTGATCCCGCCTTCCCTGCGCTCATTGGCTGACTCTCACCAGTCTCCAGGTCTAAGATTTTTATTGGTGTGCTTCGACTTTTGGGCCCACCCTCTATGATGTTTGTGAGCAATGCCTGCTTGACTTTTCTCCAGGGCTTATTGGCCTCTTTCGGGTTTGAGACCCAACCCTGCTGTCCCACTCGAAGCCCCACTCGAAGTCCCTTGTTTCCGGCCCGACCTTGTCCCTGACTCCCGCAGTTCTGAGCTTTGAATGAAGGTCTTACCGCAGGGAGGGATGCAGGCCTGTGCTGCGGAGAGAGAGGAAGCGTTACGACCCTGGAAGTGTAGGGAGGTGCCCACCCGAACCTCCGGATGCATTCCTCGGAGGGGGCGGGACCAGGCCTGCTATATTCCACCTGGGGACCCGGCCTGGCCTGCAGAATTCCACTTAAAGATCAGGCACGGGTTTGCCGATGGCCATCTAAGGGCCGGAGGCCTGCACTAAGGAGGCGGGGCCAGCCCTGGTATATTCATTCCACCGAGAGGGTGGGGCTAGACCCTTGGCGATTCTCGGGGCCCCAGTTAGAGGTGTGGCCAGGCCTAAAGTAAGTAACCCACTTTCACAGAGCGCGCAGGGCTAGAGCCAGAGATCCCGGAACAGACCTGGGCTAACCTGGGACAGGGCCGTGCCAAGGGGTCCTTGCTGGGGAGGAAATCTCAGATCGAAGGGGCGGGGCCAGGTGCTGAGTGGTCCGCACCGGAGAAGAGCCCGCGTCCCACCTAGGGAAAGCAGTTCAGAGATCCACCAGGGGATTGGCCTGAAGGGAGCGGATGGCCACTTTAGGACTGGGGTTTTCTAATTGTGTGTGTACGTGGGAGAAGGAGATGGAATCTATTTTACCTTCTTTAAGTTGTAAAATGACCTTCCGCATTTGCTCCGCGGCATCAGGGAAGGCAACCTCAAAGGACCCTGGAGGGTGGAGGGAGGACTTGTGGTGAAGATTCTCCTCCTACACCGACCTCCCCGCTCCAACCCCCCCCTTGGCCGGGCGAGCTCTCTTGGCCTCGCTGTCTTGGTGTCTGTGCCTCTTCCCCAGCGCCTCCACCCTGATGTCTCTGGTATATACAGCATCTCCTCGTCTTACCTCCTCCCACCCTGTCTGCTAGGAAGGCTGACAAATCCCCAGTCTCCTTGCTTCTGCCTCCTGACCATGTCTCTGATGGAAGCCCTTCTCCATATCATCTGTTTACCTCGTTGAAGGGAAAGGAAAGGATAAAGATCAAATTCCTCACCAAGCTTACCTAGGTCTGGCCTAGTTTCCTTTCAATCTCTATTCTTATTGTCCATATTTCACATCTCCTAACTGGACAAAAAGCATATTCTCTAGCACCTCAGGACCTTGGCACATGCTGGCTTCTGTTTCTATTACATCTTTCCCCTCTTCCTATTCATCCTTCATGTCGTATCTTATATAGGCAGTGGTGACTTATAAGAGTGTTACAAAGGGGTTTGAGAGTTCATGAGTTCACGTTATACCTCATGTCATCTACTTAGAGGTTTTCCCTGACCACAAATATAATTTAATTGAGTTCCCTGTTTTTGTTTTCAGTTCCCCATTCATTGCATTCATAGCTCTCATCAGTTTGCAATTACTTTATATATATGGTGATCATGTAAAGTCTTTCTCTTAAGTAAACACATCCTCCTTCAGTGCTGTGCCCCCAGAACCCAGGAGCTGGCCCTGAGTCTTAGAAAGTGCTCAGTAATTATATATAAAATTCCAGTATCCAACTTGGATGGAGACCACAACTGGTGGTGGCCTGTGGCCCAAGCCTATCACTTGGATGTGTGATATTTAGCCTGGAAGTGTTAAAAAGTGACCCAGTTGCCATTTGTAAAATTGGGAAAGTTACATAAAACGTTTGGTACTTGTTTTAAAAAAAATTTGGAGCCCTGGCTGGTGTGGCTCAGTGGATTGAGTGTCAGCCTGCAAGCTGAAAGGTCACTGGTTCGATTCCCAGTCAGGGCACATGCCTGGGTTGTGGGCTGGGCCCCCAGTTGGGGGTGTGTGAGAGACAACCGACTGATGTTTCTCTCCTTCTCTCCCTCCCTTCCTCTCTCTCTAAAAATACATACATAAAATCTAAAAAAATAAAAATTAGGAAGACCTGTAACACAGATACGGAATTTCCACGAGGCTGCAATTAGCAGGAGCCTAGGAGCAGCCACCCTCTTTAGTTGGTGCATGTACTTGCCACCTCTCCATAGTCCCCACCTTGATTCATTTCTATTCTTCTCTCATTCTTTCATGTTCTCTGTCCTTATGAGTGTTTTGAGTTTTGACCATTGTAATGGCTTCCAAACTGCAAGGTTTTGTGATTTTCCAAAGTGGATGGCTGGATTGATTTAGTGGTAGAAGTCATTTTGGAAATCAGAAATGTGGAAATCAGTCTAGGCTAAACTGTTCCTCCTAAATTCATATGTTTAAGTGCTAACCCCCAGTACTTCAGAATGTGACTGCCATTGGAGAGATCCAGTCTTAATGAGCTAATTAAATTAAAATGAGGTCTTTAGGGTGGGCCTTAATCCAATATGACAGATTTCCTTATAAGAGGAAGACATTTGGGTTCACAGAGAAAAGGCCATGTGAAGACAGAGAAATGGTCAACTACAACCAAAGAGAGAGACCTCAGAAGAAACCAACCCTGCTGACACTGACACCTTGACTTTGGACTTCTGTCCTCCAGAATTGTGAAAAAAATAAATTTCTGTTGCTTAAGCCACCCAGTCTGTGGTAGTTACAGCAGCTTCAGCAAACTAATACAGAGATTGTCAGCTTCCCCCAAATATCTTTCTCTTTCATTAACAGAAGGCTTTATTTCAGCCAGAAAAGCACCCCTAGCTTAAGACTACATTCCCCAGCCTCCCTTGCAGCTAGCTGTGACCATGTGATCTAGTTGTGGTCATGTGACAGTCCAATCTTTTGATACACAAGTGGAAGTGTCTTGTGGCAGTAATACGAAGTAACCTTAAAGTGGTGCCATCTTATTGATCCCTTCCCTTTATTCCATCCTGCTGCCTGAAATTTGCATTTGATGGCTGGAGCTCTGTCAGTCACATAGGACCACAAGGACAAAGGGTATACCCTAGAATGACAGAGCAGAAAGCTGGGAGGATGTTGGGTTTCCAAGAAAATGGAGCTGTCACATTAGGCTTAAGTGCCTATCTCAAGCCTTATTTTATACGGGAGAATAAACTTCTCGCTGGCTTCAGCCATCGCGGGTTCCCGTGACAAAACCATACATAAAGGGAGAGAATGGAAGAAATTGGCAAGTGGCTGAAGTGATGATCACTGGGTATAACCTGGAGAGAGGGGCACCAAAGCCAGGAAGTGGGTTCAAAATGAAGAGTTAAGAACTTAGAGGTCTCTCCTTGGCCACAGAGCAGGCGTGTGGTCTGGAGATGGCAGGATGATCAGGAGGATGTGGCCAGAGTGGGACGCTCAAATGAAAGGCCAGGATGTTGGAGTCATCTAAGAAATATCTGTGGGCCAGACCCAGTGATTCACGGTGAGGGCGAATGTGGGATATACTGTGAGCCAGGAGAGTGGGGCTGTTCTATTACACACTGGGAGACGGAGGGAATGCCCGGGGGCCAAGGGGCAGGCGACACAGCAAGTGAACCATGAAGGGGCATGGGTCGATGCTGTTAAGTTTCTCAAAAGAGGTGCCTATGGTTAGGAGCTTCACATGTTTCTGAAGATCTGGGTCTGAGTCCTGGCTTCCCATTTATGAGAATGGCAGCTTACAGCTGAGATATCCATCACAGGACCCCCTGGCCCCACTGTGTGATTTTAGCCATGTGACTTATCCTTCCTGATCCTTAATTTCCTTGTTCATGAAACGGGGGCAGTGTCGGTGTCCACCTGCCAGGGTTGGGAGGACATTCAATATACCATACAACATAAAAGCGTCCCCACTCCAAATTACGTGCCAGGTACCATTCAGTGACTGCTTGAGATTGATGTCTGTAACTGCTCAGGATGGTGCCGGGCACACGGTGTGTGTTACAGAAGAGTCATCCCCAAGTCTGAGATGGGGAAACTGAGGCATGGAGGAGGTAGGAAAGTGGCCTAACATCAAATAGCTGGATCTGAACCCAAGCAGTTGGGCTCCAGAGCACCACATGTAACTGCCGCCTATGGCATACTACCCACCCCACGGTTATATACACCAAGAGTGTCGCCGGCCACCACTGAGACCCACTCCAAGCCAGCACGTCTCTCCATCTGGGAGAGAGCCAGAAGTCAACCTTGCATCTTTCTGTTGCCGTTACCCACATACATCTGGTCCAGATACCTCCTGGGTCCATCCTCCCTGTCCAGCTGAGCCCCAAATTCCCCAAGTGGAAAATGGGACTATAAAACCCTGCCTCACAGGGCTGGTATGAGGAAATCCTTTAGGAAGATAATTAACATAAATAACTGTCTGGCAGACACGGCCCCTCCCATGTGTGGAACAGGTGTAGCACATGGTCAAATCCCTGCCCTTCCTTCTCCTCCATCCTGGTGCCCCACCTCCCTCACTTTAGACTCATCTTGGCCCATCGGGACCACTGTGACTGGTCTGAACCACCACTGGTCTCCCTGCTTCTGCCTTTATCCCACATGGCCTTTGTCACATTCTGTCTTTCTCCTTAAAATCTTCCGACAGCTCCCCCCATCTCGAGAAGAAAGGCCACAGTCAGTCCAACATGTCAACTGTGTTCCAGGAACAGCAGCAGCGCCACCTGGGAACATGTTAGAAATGTCCGTGTCTAAGCCACACCTCAGACCTACTGGTCAGAAATGGAGGGTTGGGGCCAGGACTCCGGTGTTTCAACAAGCTCCCAAGAGATTCTGAGGGTACATACACTGGGGCCCAAACTGGATGTGACCCCTTGCTGCCTCTTTCACCTCATCTTGATTTCCCCTTCAGTGACACCCCTCCAGCCCCACTGGCCGCAAGGCCTTTGCACTAGCTCTTCCCGCTGCCTGGAATCCCTCCCGCCCTGGATTGTCTGCATGGCTCTCTCTGTCATCTTGTCCAGGTGTTTGCTCAATTGGACCTTCTCATTTGCACCTCTTCCGACCAACCTGTTTAAAATGATCAGCCCACTGGCCCATTCCCTTACTCTCGTTTTCTTTCATTGCACGGTTCACCAATTGATATTGTACTACGCTATTTCATTGATTATGTTTATTGTCTGTCCCGCCCTCTGCAATATAAGCAACCTGAGGGCAGGTGGTTTTCAGTTTTGGTCGCAGCTGTGTTCCGGTGCTGTTCCTGGCACATTAAATAACCCTCTGTGGAATGTATTGCACCAGCTTCTCCCGGCCTCCAGTCGGTCCTCCACAGGGCCCCACGGGGTCTTTCTACACTCAGAGCTGACCCTGCCCACAGGACTGCGTCTCAAGTCTCTCTTACCTTCCAGCTGAATCCTGGACCCACGTATCTAGCTGCCTCCGGGAGGTCCCCCGGGGCCCTTATGGTCACTATGTCGTAGCCCAGCGTGTCATCTACCCCTACTGCTTTTTCCTCCCGGCCCCCCATCTCAGGGACGACCCACCACCCACCCACACATGGAGCCAAACCAGGCACTGCCTCTAAGCCTCCTCTGCCTGACCCGAACAGCCCATCAGACCCAAGCCTCACCCAAGCCCAACTCTCAGGCCTCCGTCACCCCACCTCCGCTCTCCCTACTCCAGACAGTCCCACACACAGCCCCAGCGGGCTCTTGTTCCCCTCTTTTCAAAACCTTCTGGGACAACATGGCCCACGTGTGGAGAAAAGGGCATTTCTTGGGGTCCTGCGCCCCCCGCCCCCCCCAGGCTGGCTCGAGTTCTTCCGGTCTTCTCGGGGGTGGGGGGACCGCAGCTGAAGTGTTCTCCATGCTGGACCCCTGGACACCCGCTGGATGGATGGGAACTTCCCCATCTTTGGGGATCTTTTGTCAAAATGCCTGGTGGGCAAGAGCAGGAAATGAAAAGTAACGGCAGATGTAGAAATAGCCTGTGAGTAGCCTGGGCCGGTAGCTAAGTTTGTTAGAGCACTGGTCCCGATACACCAAGGTTTTGGGTTTGATGCCCAGTCCGGGCACATACAGGCAGCACCCACTGAATGATTAAATAAATGAAAAACTCAATGTCTCTAATTAAAAAAAAAAAAAAAAAGAAACAAAAACAAACAAATCCATGAGCCCCCGGACCTCCGAGGCTAGTTTCTGCTGCGCAACGGAACTTAGGCCTCCCTTCCTCCCTGAGCAGTTCCAGGCTCCGGCATGAGGACTATATGACTCTATGTTTAGCCCAGAGGAAGATCTCCCTGAGGTCATCTTATCAGGGGGCCCTTCCCTTTCACTGAGCTCCCAAGCCATCCTGGGGCGCAGGGAGACTATCCCGCCTCACAGGCAGGTAAGGCGAGGTAGAGGAGGAGGCAGTAACATGTCGAGAACTTTGTAACCAGGAAAAGCCACACAGAGAGGTCAGAATTTGTTTACCTGATCCCAAGTGGGCTTCGGATTTGTAGGTATTTCTGTCCCTTTACCTCCTGCCATCATGTCCTGACAAGGAACTGGCTACCTAGTGCCATCTGCTCCTAGGTCACTGCCGCATCCCAGGGACATCCACGCCCTGCACACGTACCCATCTCTTGGGGGCTCCACGCCCACACCCCCCACTGCCGCCGTCCCCACCCACTCACCCTGAGCAGTGGCGACCTCTTGGAGGGAGTGGATCATCTGGGTGAAGGAGTCATGCAGGTGGCTTCTCTCATCATAGTCTGGGAGTGGGCGGGGGCAGAGGCTGAGGGAAGCGGCTCCCCCTACCACATCACCTACGCGGACATTCTCTGTTCCTCTAAGACATTGTCTATGAGTCTCTGCTGCCCACATCTAAATCCTCTTCCCTCCGAGTCTGTCCCCTAAGTCTCTGTCCTCCCCTTGCTCTGAGTTGCTATTCCTCCCAGTCTCTATCCTCCTGAGTCTCTGTCCCCCAGGCTCTCCTCCCCTGAGTCTGTCCCTCAGTCTCCATCCTCCTGTCCCTCTGAGTCTCGTCCCCTATCTCTGTCTACCAGCCTGTTGTCTCTTTCTTCCTGGGTCTCTCCAGACCTCTCTGGTCTCTCCCTCCGCACACCGCTCAGTGCCCTGGAGGGTGTGGTGGGGTCTTCTCACTGATTTCGGTGTCCAGGAGGCTCGCAAAGGCAGCCGTGAATGCCTCCTCACACTTTTGGAGCTCCGGGCCCTCGATGCCCACGAAGGTCTGGCAGATGCGGAGGCGCTCACTGTAGGATGTGAAGCAGAGGAGGCAGGCCCAGGCAGGTGCCCTCAAGACTGAGAGGGCCACCAGGGCGCATGGGACAGCACTGGCTGGAGCCAACCGGACCATAGCAAAGGGTCTTGGGCTGGCAAGAAGCTGGTGACCTTTGTGAGGTCATCATGGGAGGGGGAGGGGCTTATGGCATGAGGTCAGAAGTCAGATTTCATTTGCAGGTCTAATGTCAGGCTTGGGGGTTTTTAGGGAGGAAGGATGTGAGAGCTCAGGGGTCAGGGGTCAGGCCGGCAAATTTCAGGCTGTGGTTGGGCCGGATGCCAGGCTCCCAAGAACCTCACCTGTGATCCTGGACATCCTCACAGGTTAAAGGGTCTCAGGGACCCAGAGGCCGGCAGTACGGTGTGTGGTGGCCCAACAGGCCCTGGGGGAGGGGTATGGGGTGGGTCAGAGAAAGAGACGCCGCAGAGACACTGTGAGTGCCTGAGAGACAGAAACAGACACGGAGGGATGTCAGAAAGCACAATAACAGCGACGGAGAGAGAGTCTGAGAAGCCACGGTGCAGACGCTCCACAGACGGGGAGAGACGGAGAAAGCAGAAGAGAGCTTTCTTGATGGGAAAGTCTTTGAAGGAAGTGAAGGAGGCAAAGAAGGAACGAGGACAGGGAAAGACAGCCCTGCTCCTCCTCCCTGGGTCCCTGCAGCAGCCCCCTGAGCCCTGTGGGGTGGGGCAGGGGCTGGGGGTCCCCGCCGGGTGGGCGTCCCGCGCAGGGCGCAGCCTGGGGAAAGCTAGGAGGCCGTATAGTGATCTCCGTGGGTGTCCTCCTCAACTATACAACCTCCTACCTCAGCCCGGGGGGCGCGGCCGGTGGACAGACAGACGGATGGACAGACAGACGGGGGGGGGGGCCAGGGGGGCCAGGGAGGGTGGGGAGGGCCGGGGAGGCCCCAGCTGCGATGGTGAGCCCCCGACACGGACCCACAGACACGAGCTTGTGTGCGGCGAAGGCCCCGCAAGGTCGGTTCTACGGGTGGGTGCCAGGACCCAGGAATCCGGGCCCCCGGCCCCCTCCTCCCCAAGGAACCCAGGAATCAGTCCCTTGGCCCATCCTCAAGGGGGACCCAGGAGTTCAGGCCCCCAGCCCCTTCCTCCCCAAGGTCCCTGGAGTCCAGGCCCCAGCCCCCTCCTCCCTCAGCCCCGTGAGTGCAGCCCGGCCTGTCTCCCTGTGGAAGGCACAGCCAGCCTGACTTCCTGGGTGCGGGGTCAGACGAACCTCACCTGCTTTGGAGTTTGGCCCCCTGGGCAAGAAAGCTCCCTACCCACCTGTCAGATTCGGGAATCCAGGATCAGGCTGAGGCGGGCCAGGGGATAAGAAAGCTTCCAAGCCTGAGTCTTTTTCCCCCTCTCTTATCCCTTGTTCTGGCCTCTCATCATTTATAATGACGACAGCTACCATCCCTGAGCTCCAACACTGCCCAGGGACCCTGCCATCTCAGCCCAGAGATCTGGGTGCTATCAGCAGTCCCCCCCCCCATTTTGCAGGTGGGAAGGCTGAGCCCCTGAAAGGCGCAGGGACTTGGTCAATGCCAGGCAGAGCCACGCGAGCACGGAGGCTTCCCAGGTGGGCAGCACCCAGCACCCACCCTCCCACCCCTGGGCCAAGAGTCTGCGCACCTGGGGGGTCTCTCCCTCAGGCCAACTCCCTGTCTTGCTCACTGCCCCAGCTCCATCTTTATGGTTCTCTCTCACGTCCTGCTGCCGCCTGGCTGTCTCAGCTTGTCTCACCTGGTTCCCACCTCCTCCTGCATCGGCGTATTTCTCCCTTGGCTCCGCTGTCTTTTCCTTCTCTCAGAGTGCCTTCCTCAGACTCCCGTTTTCTTCTCTCTCTCCCTCTTCTCATTCTTTTTCTTTACCTCCTTTCTTCCTCCCTTTCTCCTCCTCCCTCCCTCTGTCTTTGTCCCTCTCAATTCTCTCCCTCAATTTCCCAGTCTCACTCCCTCTCCCTCCTCCCCTCCCCCTTCTCTCCATCTCTCATCTCTGTCTCCTTCTCTCCCCGGGTCTCTCTCTCTCCTTTCCTCTCCCTCTTTCTCCTTCCCTCCCTCCTAGGTCTTTCTCCTCCCTTCCCTTCCCCCCCTTCCCTTCTCTCTTGCTGTCTCCCTCCCTTCTCCTTCTCTCTCTCTCAGTCTTTCTCCTTCCTTCTCTCCCTCCCCCTCGCCGCTCCGAGCCAGGTCTGGAGCTGGGGGTGGGGTGGGGGTGGTTGGAGAAGGGGCCCAGGGCTGGGGTAGCGACCTGCTGAGGAGGGGGAGGAGAGGCGGGAAGGGGGCGGAGGAGGAAAGGGGGAGGCGGGGGCCAGAGACGGGTCTACGGTCCCAGCTCTCATCCCCCGTCCCTCCTTCCCAACCTCCCAGACCCTCAGGCGGGGGCGAGAGTCAGGCCAAGGTGGGGAGGAAGGGGAAGGGAGGAGGCTGCCCCCGCCCCCCCAACAACCTGGCCCAGAGCCCAGGCCTGGGTTCCCAGCATGCCCCGGGGCTGCCTGGGGCCTGAGGAGGGGGATGAGAGAGAGGAAGCTGAGAATCTTAAAGATTTGTAGGACCTGACCATCTCCCCACTTCCCCAACAAATTTCTTCTTGGGGAAACTGAGACCCGGAGAGAAGGGTCAGGACTTTTTCAAGGTCACTGGACAAGGCGTTTGTGAATACTCGAACTCCCTGGGCCCATAGGCCCGATTTGGGGAAGGGGTTGGCGCTGGCCTTCCCCCAGGTCTGGGTCCCCCTCCCCCTCTCTGCAGACCCTGGGGAGCCCCCAAGGGTCAGAGAGCAGACCCAAACAGTCTGGCACCATGGCAACCAGATGCCCCGCCCCCTTAACCCCCGTAGGGATGGACTCCAGCTGGGGGCAAAAGAGGAGGTGGGGACTCCTGGGTTCTGGACGGGAAGGGGCCTGGGGCCCTAACTCTGGGGTTTCGTGGAGGGTGGGGGCTGGAGTGTGGACTCTCAAGTCTGAGAGAAGAGGCGGGGAAGCCAGACTCGTGGGTCCTGCGGTGAAGGGGCTAGGGGTTCCGGTTCTGGAATTCTGAGGGAGGGGGCTGGGTTGCGGACTCCCAGGTTTAAGCGGGGAGGGGGCTGGGGCCTGGAATCCCACGTCCCCAGGGGAGCCTGGATGCAGGGCCTCTCCTCCGCCAGACAGCCCCTGCCCCCGCCGCTGACCCTGGCCTGTCTGGCAGCCCAGACAACCTCCCCCCGCCTCCGCGGCCCCCTCCCACTGGCACGGCTCACCCTTGACCCCTCAAAGCCCCGCAGCCTCTTCCCTGCCCCTCCCCCGCCCCTCCAGCCAGACGTTAACCCTTCCGCCGCCAGAGGCACCGCCAAAGCCAGACTCCCGGCACCTACCCCGAGGGCGCGGGCGGGCATCTTGCCCCCTGTTTCTTTCAGCTCCGAGCCTGGCTACCCCTAGCTCACGTCTCCTCCAAGTGGAATCCAGGGGGTGTTCCCCGCCCTCTCCTTCTCCGGACCCCCGAATCCAGGCCCCCAGCCTCCTCCTCCAAGAATTCGGGAGCTTGGGTCCCCAGTCTGCCCCCGCCCCCCCCTCCAGGATCCCTGCCACCCCGGCCCCCGGCCGCCTCCTCCCTCGGGGGCCCCGGAGTCCCGGCCCCAGGGCCCCTCCCCCGCCCCTTCCGCAGACTCACGGCTCCGCGGCTCCCGCGTCGCAGGGAAGGGTCTCCCGGGCCCACGGCCGCCGGCTGCTCTCCATCCTCCGCCCGCCGCCGCCGCCGCCGCCGCCCGACGGCCTCTCCCCAGCCTCCGCGTCCCCGCCACCCTCCTCCCTCCTCGCGACTCCCCGGGTGCCGCGGCCCGGTTCCCCGCCCGGGACCCCGCGGCCCAGCCCCCTCCCCAGGGGGCCCCCGCCCCGGCCCCTCCCGCCGCCCGGCCCAGCGAGCCTGGCTTCCCCCTGCCCCGCCGCTGGCCCCGGTCCAGGGGAAAAAATTCCATCCAGCCCGGGAGGAGGAGCGGGCGGGGGAGGGCGCGGGCGGGAGGCCGGCCGGGGAGCGTGACGCAGCGGGGAGGGAAGGGACAAAAGGGGCCGGGAGGCGGCGGGCCCGCGGCGCTCCCGCCGCTCCCTCCCTCCGCCTCCCGCGGCCGGGCCCGTCTCTCCGGTATCGGCGTCTCGTCCCTCCACCGCGCCTGCCTTCCTCCTCTCGGCCAGCCTCTTTGCCCTGTGCATGCTCCTCTCCCTCCCTCTCTCTTTCTCTCTCTCACACACACGCGCACACACCTCCCCATCAGGGTCTGCTCCTCTCCCTCTCCCTGCCTCCTGCTCCTCCCTCCCCCTCCGCCGCGGTCGCCCCCACCCTTCCACCCACTGGGGACTCAAAGGTGAATCAGACCCACAGCTGCCCTTGCAGACGGAGCTCCCAGTCTGCAGGAGGAGACAGACCCAGACGCAGACAGTTCCAATCCAAGGGTGATGGGGTACGGGCAAGGGAGAGGCCGGCGGCTGTGGGAGCCCAGGGCGGGAGGCAGCCTTCCAGCAGGAGACAGCCCGAAGGACCCGCGGAGGAGGCAGAGCTTGCTCGTGGCATGACCTCCAGCAACAGGGAGAAGTTAGATCTGAGTGGCCGAGGGAGAGGGCGGCCGTAAGGGCGTTCCAGGCAGAGGGCATAGCTTGAGCAGAAGCCCAGAGGCAGGAAACCAGGGCCGATTCCGGGAGAAGAGCGCAGCAGTCAAGGCTGACTGGAGCCTTAGAGGACACGAGCCCGGGAGCGGGGAGACGAGGCCGAGGAGGTGGGCGGGGCCGGATCGGAAGCGCTTTGGAGGCCAGGCTGGGGACTTTTTCCTGAGATTGAACAGGAGCCCGGAGGGTTGTGAGCAAGGGGAGGGGCCGGGGCAGATGTGGGTGTCAGAAAGACCCCGCTGGGCCCCGTGGTGGAGGCTGGCAGGCTGGGGAAGAGGATGCCGGGGCTGGGGCTGGGACCCTGGGGACGGAGAGGAGGGGGTGGGGCAGTGAATGTGTGGAGGCCGGAGGGACTGAGCACTAGCAGGCTCTGGGAGGTGACCCGGAGGGAAGGCATGAAGGAGCTCGACCACCAGGGGACTGGCCCAGGATCTGAGAGGACGAGGGTTGTTCCCAGTGGGGAACCAAGGGGAAGAAGAGGGTACAGGAGCGGGAAGATGCGATGTACAGCTTGGAACCCAGTGGCCGTTAGGGGCCCAGGGGACATTTAAGGAAGACATTCAGGCAGTGGGAGGTACACAGTTCCAGGGCTCCAGCGGTGAAAAATGCATTCGCCCCACCACCACGCTGTGCCTCGGCCTCCCAGCTCTCAGCTCTCTCTGGGGACAGCTTACGCGTACCAATTCCTTGTGT